CCCTCCCACCGAGAGACTGCTACATGTCAGTGGGTAAAAAAAAAATTTATTGTGCAATCTGCATCTTTTGTCCCAAACTACACACACACCCTAGGCAACATAAATAGAGGGACTGGACCAGCAGTGAGGTTCCCTTGTGATCGGCAGGGCTGGAAGATGCTGGTTCCTCAAAAAGGGGCTACGAGCCCTTGTCTCCATCAACATATACAATGCAGTGTACATCTAGGCAGTATACACATATACATAAACATACAGATTTCTGTGGGGTGGCATCAGCCATGCACAGTGTAATTACATTATACACAGCGTGTGTGATACCTTGGCACCTCCTGCCAGCTGGCTGCAGGCTCTGGCGTTGCCATTGCTCTCTAGCGGGACCTCCCCAGGGGCTGAGTGCTGCAGAGCCCTGGCCCGGCTACGGCACCCACTGTACCAATGGGTAAGGAGGCACGGCATCATCTCCCAGGGAAAAAGGATCCGTGACGCTCACAGCCTCTTTCCTGCAGCAGGACCATAACACGGTGGAAGACATCTCCTCAGCCCAACTGCCCTGTGTGATCCAGGAGGAGCTGAGAGGTGCCCCATCCATGAGCCCCTAGTCTCCCCCAGCCCAGATCTGTCTTTGGAGCTTCTCCTCTCAAAACCACCTTTGCGGTGAGGATGCACATAAAAGCTCCAAGTAAATAGTGCCATCTCACAGCTGCTTCCTTGCACCAGCCCAGAGGTCCACAGGCTGGATAACCTCTCCTGTAACTCATGGGGAAACAATCACAAAGCAGCATCAGAGGACTATGTCACTTGTGTCCCGGTCTTGCAAAGACATCACCGCCCCAGGAAATAAAGGAGAGGGGTGGTGCTGGCCCACACAGAGAGGACTGCCTGCCTGGGCAGGTCAGTCCGGTCTGTGGTGGCTGGGGCAAGAGCAGGAAACAAGCGGGAGCTGGAGGAGGTCTCACTGGGAGCTCAGCTCGGCCAGCAGCCACGTGGCTGGGGCCAGCTGCAAAGAGATGGCACTGGGTGGGCTAATGCCAAAGGACCATCACATGGAGAAGATCCTGGGCACTAGGGCTGGAGGAGCACTCTGGTACTCCGAGATGGGGTATCTCAGCAAGCACGTGGCATAGGCTGAGAAATCCTCTGGACCAGAGCATCCAGTGCAGATGCATGAGCACCTGGGCTGCTGTGCGAGCCCATCCTTGGTCCCCAGCTCAGCATGGCCCCTGGCTGCAGACAGGATGGTGGCACTACAGCAAGATGGGAGCTTTGCACTGATCGGGGTGAACAGGTCCAGGATGGAGCTGCAGAAGCCATGGCAGGACAGGCTGTGCCCCTCCCAAGAATCTGGGGAGAAGTGGGGTGTCGTGGCTCCCCACACTTCATGCTGGGGCAGCAATGGATCCTGCCACCCCAGGGCTCCCCCCTCTCCAAAATAATGACCCCAAAACCAGCAAGTGCCAGTGAGAGAGATGTTTGGGAGAGCCAGCCCCCATGGTGCCCCTGCTGCTACTCAAAAGACAGTAGGTCAGGATGGGGCCCCTCCACCTCCAGGCCAGGGGTACGTGGCTCCGGCCGCCCTATGCCCCCTGGCAGCTCATGCTCCAGCCCTGGTCTCTGGGAGGGCTTCTCCGTGCGGGGTGAGGTCTCGGTGGCTCTCTCAACCGCTTGCCACTGACTCTCCAGGCTGCCCTTATGGATGAGGTCGGGCACAGGGAGGGCACCAGTGGGCTGGTCCCCACTGGGCTCTGAGGTGCTCATCATGCTGGAGACTCCAGGGTGTTCTGGAGGGGATGGGTCCCTCATCTCCAGCTGCAACTCTGCAGGGTCAGAGTGGGCTGTGAGCAGTCCAGTGGGCTCCTCCGTGCTGCTCCTTGGGCTAGCCTCTGCCGGCTGTGGCGCGATGAGCATGTCCTGCGGGGTCTTCAGGGCACGTGGCGTCCGCTTCTTGGTGATGGGGGGCGGAGGGTCCAGCCGGGGGAAGGCTTCCAGCCTCACAGCCCTGCAAGCACAGAAGTCACATACAGCCCCATGCTGAGGCCCCTCCAGCCTGCCCCGACGGCCCTGCCGCAGGGCGTGCACCGGGGGGACACTCACCCGTCCTCGGCAGACAGCTGTCCCGTGCCCAGCACGGCCCCAGCGCTGGCGTTCACCTCCATCACCCCCACGCTGGGGAGGCCAGCCGGCTCCTTGCGGCGCAGGAGGTCGTTCACCTTGGCCCCCACGGCCTTGCCCAGGTTGCGGAGGTGCTGGCGGC